CCTTACTTAGTAGTAGCATTGACTTCAGTGGGATTGGTGCCCTGGGAAATGCGCTTAAGACTGCGACCTTCAGACAGAAGGTGTTTTTTTTTAACCCTTTCATATAACTTTAGAACTTGTGGGTAGAGGAGGTGTCACCAAACAAAAAACCATTCACAACAAGCAAGAGCCCCCTCTTCATATAGCAACTTGTATGTATGGTGATAACTCTGACACAGGACAAGGCAAATCCATAGCAACTGTTGGCTAAATGTCACTTCCCTGTCAAAAGACACAATACTGCTAAATGTTAAAAACTGGGGAGAGAAAAGAAGAGGATACATACTTGTGACCCTCCCAGAGGCATCTGACTGAGCATTACTGGATAGAGAGAGTGCCCCAGACTAGATGGAACTTTGGTCTGATCTAGGAAGGTTCTGGAACCTTCTCTTCCAAAAGGGCAGGCAGACAGGCAGGCACTCTCTTTCCAAGGCGTGACTGATGGAGGCTGGATTTTGGCCAGCCCAGCTTGCCTCTGTGCATGGGCTGGTCTTTATGCGTACAACAGACGCAGATCCTTTCCACTGCACTGCAGTAGTCATATTCAGCATTTAGGGGAATTTTGGTGATCTGGCGGTAAACAGTTATTACAGAAGGGGAATTAGTTGCGCTCTCAGACAAGCCTCCCACACATGGCTGGGCTCCATGAGCCAACTGTGATGCAGCCACGGTGAGTATCCCCAAGTGAATATTTTGTGTTTTGCTTCACATGATAGACTTGAGTTAAAGCTGACTGAAGCCTCACACAAAAAGACACCCTAACATGCTGAACCTAAGCAAACGTTATTGATTTCCAGGGGTCCGTCTTACAGGCGAGCATGCCAAGGATCTGCAGTCCAGGATTGCCAATGCTAAGCCTAAGCATGTTTACCCGGGAGTAAGCCCCACTAAATTAGCCAGGTCTTTGATCAGGGTATGTTTCAAAGTTTCTGCCTAAGGCTCCAATCCTAAAAAATGTACCTCTAAGTCAATAAGTCAACAGGATTTCCAATTAAGGCTGCAAGCCTATGAACACTAGCATGGCAGTAGGTGCCACTGAACACAGGACTGTAGTGCACAGGTGCTTGGAACAGCAAGCTAGTGCTTTGTTGTAGACTTCCCCCCTCCCCACCCAATTTTACCAAGATGCTTTTTACCAAGATATTTCACGTGCCAAACCAGTGCTCCCCGCCCAATTGCTACAAAACCTTTGCATGCTTGTACCAAGATATTTCACGTGCCAAACCAGTGATCAGGAATGCTCCAGTGCTTCAGACAATTACAAGAGGGATAGATATGCACCAGGGGAAGCTTTTCCAAGCATGCAGGAGCTGTGATTGGAAATGCTTTACCTGTAGAATTCTTGCCCATCTTGCAGCTTGTTAAAAATAGATCTTGCACAAAATCACTGGCAACCTTCAACAGCTTAAGCTGGTCAGTCTTTTTTTTTTAAATTTCCAGTGATCATGTACCATTAGTGCAAACCAAGACAAAATTAAAGAAGAAATCCACGGGTTGAATGTGTGTTTTCCTAAGCACAGTAAAAGGGAGCAGCTCCCATTCAAACCAATGGATTTTAAATTTCAAGTCCTCATCCTTTGACACAGATTAGTGGGAAAGTCACAATCTGCCTCTTCGATTGCCAAGACTTTTGCCTTTATAAAAGCAATTCCATTCTGAGGTCTAGGTGTTGAATGTGTGTTTTCCTAAGCACAGTAAAAGGGAGCAGCTCCCATTCAAACCAATGGATTTTAAATTTCAAGTCCTCATCCTTTGACACAGATTAGTGGGAAAGTCACAATCTGCCTCTTCGATTGCCAAGACTTTTGCCTTTATAAAAGCAATTCCATTCTGAGGTCTAGGCCAGATTCTGAGGCAAATGTATCCCCTGTGTTATGGAGGAAATGGTTTGCCACTATATGAAAGAGTATGTTGGATTAGATGAACCCATGATCTGATCTGGCAGGGCTCTTCTTAGGTTCTTTTGGGAGGAGGCAGTGAGTTCAGTGACAGAGCACAAGGTTTCTTTCTCCAGGTGGAAAGAATTCTGGTAGTTTTGGGAATGATGGACCAATGTCTTGACTCTCAGGTTGTAACTGCATGTTACGCATCCCCAGATCATGTCTGGATCTACCACAAGGACAGCCAGTTGGACTTGTGAGTTCCTTACTGGGAACTCAGTTTCCAAGCATGCAAGGAAAAATGCCTCATTCCTACATTGTTTTCCCAAACTGAAATGGCACTGGTGGCGGCGGAGGGTGTGTGTGTGTAGTATGCTATTTGCCATGTTGGGAAAGCCTTTGAGTAACAACAGTGCACATGGAGCTCCCATCAGAGCAAACAGCTGCCCCCAGCGCCATTTCAGATTGGGCTAATGCCATGGAAGGGTAGGCATAAACCTCTTTTCCCTGCACGCTGCAAATCAGGCCTTGTGGACCTAAGAACTGAGTTCCAAGCAAGAACTTCTGAGGGCCAAGGCACACTTCGCAGTCTATTCCTCTATGGGTATTTTGTGGCCACAGGAGCATTTCATCAATGAATTAATTTCTTGTGACACTTTCTCTTGTACCAGAAGACTGTGCCCCAGCTAAGTGTTGGAGAATCAACCCTGCCCTCCATGCTTGGGTTAGAAAAGAAAGCAAAGAACTCGTAAGATGCTCTGCCCCTTTTCCTTCCAAGAAGAACCTTCCTATGCATGGTTATGTGATGCTGTGGCTCTGTGGGCACACAGAAAAAGCAGAGCATTATGGGATTCAGTTTAATGTAAAGCTCAGCTTTCACTTAAAAACAGGTTTCTAGTTCTTATGAATGCTAATATGGGGTTAAAAGAGTTTTGGCAATACTGCTGATATCTCAGGAGCATAGAGGCAGCTGAATAAGCCTGTACACAATGTCAAGGGAGGAAGCCCCACCCAATGCAAAGACACTTACTTTCATGTAAATATACATAGGATTGGGCTGTAAGGTGGTCTAGTGGTTAGGGGGTATTATGCATAGCTCCTTGCCTCTCCCCAAGAACTAGCAGCTCCAGAACAAGTTAGATGAAGAGGAGAAGCAGAATAAATTATGCAGTAATACGCAAATCATATAATTAAAATAACTTATGTATGCTGCAGCTCTTCCTAGCATGGAATTTGGATTGCCTACTCTTTTTAGTGCCAAATACATACCAGCCTGGGTTACAAAAAGACCTTGACATTGCTAAATTCAGCTTTACCTCTCATATGTGCATAATCAGAAGGCGTTTTGTGTTAATGCTATGCGTATCCAAAAGAAAGTCACTATGTTGTGCCACTATTTTGCACTCTTCTAGTACACATGGCTTGATGCAAACGTCTCACAATCCCAATGTGTGGAAAGCAACTTTTTGCATCCTTATTACATTGCAGGTATTTCAAAGAAGCGTGCACAACCTGAGCATATCCCTGCCACAGCCATTTCCACAGTTTGTAGGAAAAGAGTCCCCGCAGAGCTGAAAATAATGTTCCTGATTCAGATCTGCTTGCACACAGATCCTCAGTTTGCAACAGAAGTTGCTTCCAACCCATTCAGTGAGGCCCCTTTCTCCCTGTCATCTTTGTTACCAATGTTTTCCTATCTCCAGAGCAGTTTTCTGGCAACTCCCACTTTCCACCAATCTTTTATGCAACGACACAAAGTCTCTTTGCTTGCCCTATAGCAGATGGGTGCCATACTGACAGCCATAAGGAATTTTTGTACCACCAGCCTCACTGCTGTGGGCCAGCCAAGCTCAGCAGAGCAAAGGGACGCAGAGGACACCTCTGAGGAAGAGGGGGTCAGCATACCTGACCCAAGCCCACAGCCAGTGGCAGAGGTACTGCAGGAGGAGGCAGTCTCTAAGGGGCCAGATATAGATTCTCAGTGTCCCAACCCTGGGCCGGCAACAGAGAGGCAATTGCCAGTCAGTTCACCCCCCCCCCCCCCATCACCAGAGCCTTGGGAATGTTGTCGGAAGAAGACAGGGAAGGACCTTCAAGCCAGAAGGCCCAGTGCCCGTCTAACAGCACAGGAATAACCCAGCTTCAACAACAAGGATGAGTGCTTGCAGGAGCAGGACTGAGGAAGCTGGCAGGTGCATGATCTGACATGTGGGGTTTAAAAGCAACAGAGAAGGAAGCAGATGTGTGGAAGCAACTAGTCTGTTAGCTACTGACCTTGTTGCCTGTATTCTGGATAGATTTCTTCATCGCTGACCTTGTGGCCTGTATCATAGAAACCTTCCTCTTGGTTCTGGATTTGAAGCTGTGAGTGCTGCCTAAGCCGTGCCTGAACCTTGGAGATGTATTTTGACCAACCCTGTCGTTGAATAACCACCTCCGTGTGCTTACTGTGTGCCAGTGAGAGGACACTCACTGCTTGGTCTCAGCCTCTGCAAGGATCAACCACGCAAACCAGACCATCAGTGTGTTGCTACCTGAGAGTGGGCACAACCATATACATTAACGCCTACTTGACTCCAGCAAAGCCATACACCCACACAAACCCACACACAGACACATATACAGAAGGCAACCCCTTCTCAAGGTTCCTAGCTAAGCTGACGACATGGCCTTCCTTTCACTATGTGAGAAGGCATCCAGTGGAAGATCTCCATTTGATGGAGGAAAAAGTCTTGATGGACTTCTCTCCAAGGCAAAGGGGGCGTGGCCAGATCATACCTTTTGCCTGAGTTTGTAAATGTGGGAGGGGAAGTCAACAATGGGGAGGAGCTTAACCCCTTGGGCACAGCTCATTCACCAAGGTCTTAGGCCTTGAGTTAGCCAGCGCTTGTGGCTCCTTCTGATTGTCCTTCCCAAGGTGAAGTTCATAGGACTGCAGTGGTTGCTCCTAGTCTCAGTTGCCTCAGCATACACAAGCTAGCCAACGTTCACCCAGCACACTCGGTGTGGGGCTTAGGGCTTCCATCTGAACCCTAAAGCAGCTTCCCTGGGCTGCCTGCAAGTTCCATTGTGTCTCGAAAGTCACACATCCGAGGTCCGGATGTTCTCATCGTCCAGGTCATACAGGAAGGGGTGCTCTTTAAAGTTCTGAGGTTCCGACCTGTGCCGTAAACGACCTCCCTGCACAGCTCCGGCCTCTCGCTTGGTAAACCCAGGTGCAAACTCCGAGTCCTTCAATTCAGCAGCCTGCTCCTTGGCTGCAGGCTGCTGCTTGCCTTCCGGCTGAGGCACAGGCGTCCAAGGCAGCCAGCACGATGTTGAGGGCCCTTTGCAGGCGGCCTTCTTCTCCTCTCCCAACTGCTTCAATCTAGCAATGGATGGGATGGCTGAGCTGGGCAGGGCGTGGCCTCCGCGTTTGCTCATGGACACGGATCTCACCAAGGGCATTTCCTGCATGGAGAGAAAGACATGGCAGTTCTTTTATTTAAAAAAATAAAACAACCTGAAAATAATAATGCATTACAAGAATGCTTGGCTTCTCTTATGTTCTTATGTCTGGGGCAGTGATGCACTGTATTCTTGGTGCCTGGGGGGCAAGGGTGGGAGGGCTTCTGAAGTTCTGGCCCTGCTGGTGGACCTCCTGATGGCTCCTGGATTTTGGCCACTGGGTGACACAGAGTGTTGGGCTGGATGGGCCATTGGCCTGATCCAACATGGCTTTTCTTATGTTCTTAAGAAAATGTCATCGCAAACAGCCTACCAGCTGAAATCCTTCTCACAATCCCTGCTGTCTGTGCCTCCACCTTCAGAGGTGAGGCAGGTGGCAACCAGAGACAGAGTCTTTTTTCAGGGGTGGCGCCTTACCTGTGGAATGGCCTCCCACCTGAGGCTTGCCTGACAACCTGGTCCTAGTCTCTTTCAGGCGCCAGGCCAGAACGTTTCTTTTTATGCAGGCTTTCAAACTAAGGGGTTTGATCTTTCAAACAAAATGTTATAGTCTGCTTTTAGCCAGAAGACTGTTTTAATGAGGATCACTTTAGGCTGCTAACTGCTTTAATGCTGTTTTGAACAATCTGGCTGTGTTTTCCATGTACATTTTGATGATTTTTTAAATCGTGTTGCGAAATGTCATGAACCAATCCTCTGGAGAGGCAGCACAGAAATTTTCTAAATGAATACATAATGCTACTTCCAGCACCAGCCTTTACTGTAAAGCAGCCCTTCCAGCAAAGGGAGATCACAGAGGAGCTGCCCCTTTCCTGCTAGACTTCAACACTGGCCAGTAAAAAAAATGCTCAAGGGAGGGGTTTCATTTGGACTTTGGGAGCCACTTCAATCCATTTTTCCATGTTTTGTCTCATTTCTCCCCACTTTATTGTCACCTCTCCTTTCATTCCTTTCCCCCATTGGATAAGTTTCTAACTCTTATCTGCCATGGTAAAAAAAATTACTTTAAAAGATAAAGGCAGTGTGTCTCAGAAGCTGGTTCAGTCTGGAGAGGGGGGGGGGGGGGGGGGGGGACAGGATTTCTCTTTTGCAGAACACTGAACCACTATATTCATTTGTGTGGGGTATGATGATTCCGTGGCTGCATTTGTGGCCATAGCTTAAGACAGGCATGAGTACCACGCATTTCATAAAATCAAAGAGCAAAAAGGGACCTCCAGGGCCATCTAGCCCAACCCCCTGCACAATGCAGGAAATTCACAACTACCTTTCCCCCCCACACACACCCCAGTGACCTCTACTCCATGCCCAGAAGAGGGCAAAAAAACCTTCAGCAAAAAACCTCCAGGATCCCTGGTCAAATTGGCCTGGAGAAAATTGCTTCCTGACCCCAATGTGGCGATCAGTATTTCCCTGGGTGTGTAAGAAAGGGCCACAGGAACTAAGCACTGATGCAACCCTTCCTCACTCTCATGATCTGTCTTAAGTTCACAGAATCAGCACTGCTGTCAGATGGCCATCTAGCCTCTGCTTAAAAACCTCCAAAGAAGGAGAGCCCACCACCTCTCGAGGAAGCATGCTCCACTGAGGAACCACTGTTAGGAAGTTCTTCCTAATGTTTAGCCGAAAACTCTACTGATTTAATGTCAGCCCATTGGTTCTGGTCTGACCTTCTGGGGCAACAGAAAACAACTCCATACCATCCTCTATATCCCTTCAAGTACTTGAAGATGGTTATCATATCACCTCTCAGTCATCTCCTCTCCAGGCTAAACATACCCAGCTCCTTCAATCTTTCCAAGTAGGACCTGGTCTCCAGACCCCTCACCATCTTTATTGCCCTCCTCTGGACACATTCCAGCTTGTCTATATCCTTCTTAAATTGCGGTGCCCAAAACTGAACACAATACTCTAGGTGAAGTCTAACCAGAGCAGAGTAAAGCGATGCCATCACTTCACATGATCTGGACACTACACTTCTGTTAGGGGGAGATTAAACGGAAGTGTCCAGATTAAATGAATTTATTTTAACTTGCTTTACTTAGTTTTTTAAAAAGTTGTGTGGAAGGGGAAGTGTTACAAAGAAGCCAATTTAAGACAACACTCAATCAAAACACATGGAATGCTTCATTTGTGCAATTCATCCCTTTGATTATGAGATAAGGTTGTTTGCAGTGCAATCCAAAATCACATGATCTGGACACTACACTTCTGTTAGGAGGAGATTAAACGGAAGTGTCCAGATTAAATGAATTTATTTTAACTTGCTTTAGTTTTTAAAAAGCTATTAAATGAATTTATTTTAACTTGCTTTACTTAGTTTTTTAAAAAGTTGTGTGGAAGGGGAAGTGTTACAAAGAAGCCAATTTAAGACAACACTCAATCAAAACACATGGAATGCTTCATTTGTGTAATTCATCCCTTTGATTATGAGATAGGGTTGTTTGCAATGCAATCCAAAATGGAGTTACACTCTTCTAAATCCACTGAAGGCGATGGATCTAGGAGGATAACTCTTCTTAGGATTGCACTGTCAGAGTTCTAGGCCCATTCATTTAATCTCTTGCAGTATGGTAACCCAAGGAAGCAATACCATGCAGCTGAGTTTTGCCACACTCCTTGTTGCAGCTGGATCAGGCCAGCACCCTGTTTCATACAGTTCCTCTGGAGTTCCAACAACAAGGCACAGAGGCCAAAGTCTTCCCCTGATGTTGCTTCCTGCAACTGCAATCAAGAGGGTTACTGCCTATGAATGTGGAGATTCCCTTTAGTCACCAGGGCTAGTAACCACTGATAGACCTGTCCTCTGTGTAGGAAGGTGGTAACAGCCAGAAGCCCCTCTCGTTCTGCCTGTAACATCTCCCCCCACCCAGTGCTGCTTGGTCTTGTTCTCAAGAAAGCCAAAGCCTGGAAAGCTTCTCCTGGAAATGAGCTATTTTTCAAGTGTTTGCCCGAGACATTCAAATAAATGATGTCTGCTTAAAACAACAAGCCCAGTTAATTGATGCTGAATGTGACGCGCAAAGGATATGACCTACCCTTGGGCAGCTCTTCAGCGCCTGCACCGCCCCCGTGATCATTTTAATCCAGCTGTGCATGTCCTCAGGACTATAGGCCTGCAAAAGAGACAGCAGCAAAAAACTATGAGATGCCTCTCTGGGCTGCGCACATACAGAACTCAAGAGTTGAGAAAAGCAAATGCTCAAATCGAACTTCAGGGCTGCAGGACAGTATGGCTCATCTGGCCCCTAAAACTGGAACCAGAGTGGTGCAGTGGTGAGAGAGTCATGAAGCTTAACTGGGTGAACCTGTGCCAGTCACTCTCTTGCAGTGTACAGGGTGAAACAGAAAGGGAGAGTCTCGTGTTCTGCCTTGAATTACTGCGGAGGGAGGAGCAAGATAAAAATGTGACTGATATCTAGTCTGGCCCACTTGAACACATAAGATCTGTTTGCTCTGTGCCTGAACAGAAAACATAAAGTTTTGTGAAAACAGGTCATTTTTTTAGGAAACATTTTTATCCCATTCCTTCTTGAGGAACCAAACATACTTCTATCTTCTGTATTTTACCCTCACAGCAACCTTCTGCAGCACGTTAGGCTGATGAGAGAGAGGAGAAGGTAATGCCGTGTAAGCAGACAGGACCCTTCTGTCCAATTTAAAAGATGGCGGAATTGTCTTGTTTCTTCTTCCACCCTCAGATGACCCACTGAGCTGTAAGAACAATCTTCTTCTTCCACCCTCAGATGACCCACTGAGCTGTAAGAACTGCCAGGATCGACATGAAGAGCAAATTTCCACTAGGGGGCAGAGACGAGATAAAATAAGAAGTTTCCAATCCACTAGGGGGCAGAGACGAGATAAAATCCTGGGTGAAAAACAGCTTTCTGATGCTGAGACCTAAAGAAAGCTGCCGTCCCCCACTGAAGTCAACAGCTCTTGCTCACACAGGTCTAATGACAGGAACAAATCCCAAATGGTCAAATGGGCAAGTTCATGTCACTTATTGGGCTGCTTCTAATTCTGAGGAACAAGGCAAAAGACAGTGTCTCGGCCCCCCAATAATGCATTTGAAAAAGACAATCATCCCTTTCCCTTCGCATGACACCTTCCCTTGTGCCCACCACGTGTTTTTAGAAAGAGAGCAGAGCCAGGTTAGCTTTTACCCAGGAGGGCATCCTATAGGCCACTGGCGATCTCACTGGCTGTCCAGCATTGTTAATAAGTATTTTTGGCAGCCGCTGCCACCAAAGCACGGGGATCTTCACCGTATGACTTAAGGCCAGCTGCATGTACGCAAGAAAAACTTTTCAAACAGTACATTCATTTTGGGAGGGAAGGCGGCACAGTATAGCCTGATCTCATCAGATCTTGGAAGCTGAGCAGGGTCATCACTCGGAAGGGAGGCCTCCAAGGAAGACTCTGCAGAGGGAGGCAATGGCAAACCACCGCTGGTCCTCGCTTGCCTTGAAAGCCTCTGGCTGGGGTCGCCATAAGCCGGCTGCGACCTGACGGCACTTTACGCACGCACATTCATTTTAAAAGGCATCCTGTTAAACAGAGCCTCAGCCTGGAATGCTGAAGAGTCACTATCATAATAGTAGTGCATAACCTTGCTCCCCGGCATTCCGTGGTTGCCCTCACCTCCTATGGCAGCTATTTAGTGGCTGTGTCCGCTTCCCTGTGTCAGAATTCCACAGGTTCCCACACAGGCTCAGAAAGGCTGGAGACCCCTGTTGCAGAGGATCAGGCAGTAAGTATCATGGCACCTAATGCTGAGAGGCTCTTCCTTTCTGAGCCCCTAAAAATTTCCTGCAATTCTGCCTAAGGAGTACTCTCTGGCAGTCATGGTGGGCCTGCCTCAGCTGCTCTGGGCCTTTGTCAGAGCAATTATCCACCTTTCCTGGAAGCTATCCCCAGATCCTACAGAACCTGGCCCAGCTGCATGCTGCTGGACAACTGCCCCTCCTGATCCGGGGGGTTTTTTCCAAATCCAGCACAACGTGTGACTGCTTCATCTGAATGAAAGGGAGGTTGATAACTCTTCCCAAACCACTATTCACCCCTATATGGTGTAAAGAAACAGAAGGTGAATTCTAGTGGTGGTTATTCCAAGATGACTGCTCCCACGTGTCTCTTAGCTTGGGTATATGCGGGTAAAGGAAATGTGCTGAACATTAAAGCTGTTGAAGGATAAAATGAGCATGTGAGAAGAGAGACCGCTTACACCGAGTCAGACTACTGGTCTGTTTAACACAGTACAACCTCCTCTGACTGGCAGTGGCTTGGGAGGGGGGCGGTTAAGGCACACAAAGGTCTTTCACAGCCCTCCTAGCCAAAATCCTTTTAACCGGACATTGAAAGGACTGGACTTGGGACCTCATGAACACATGAAACTGCCTTATACTGAATCGGATAAGTGTTGGTCCATCAAAGTCAGCATTGTCTCCTCAGACTGGCAGTGGCGCTCCAAGGTCTCAGGCAGAGGTCTCTCACATACCCTACTGCCAGGTCCCTTAACTGGCGATGCCGGGGATTGAACTTGAGGCCTTCTGCATGCCAAGGAGATGCTGTACCCCTGAGCCACATCCCCTTCTGCACCTTTCTTCCACTGGTGTGTGGCCCCTCCCCACAAGATGGCCCGTTCCCCACCCCCGAGAGCTCGCTGCACTGTTCTGTGACTGAAAAACAAACACAGCCAACCGTAACTCCTCGACAGGTGCAAGGAAAGGAAACCTGCTTTGAGAAGTCACTCGAACATCACTTGTTCTCATCATCTGATGATGCCGTCCCTTCCCATTTTGAACTGGGCAGCCCTAGGGAGAAGGCTGTCAGCAATTTCAAAACCCATTCAAAATATTCCTAGGCCATGGTGCAACTTCTACGCCCATAATCACTTTTTTTTTTTAAATCTTGCCCTTCCTTCAAGGAGTTCAGAGTGGTTAGAAAGAGGACGACTGACCCAGTGAACTTTATGACAGAACAGAGATTGGAACCAAAGTATCTTTGGTCCTAACCGTACACTTTAAACCATTCTGTCACATTACTTCTCTGGCTCAGAGGCTGCTGGGTACATGACTGCTACTGCAATCTTTAAGATCTCCAGGCACTGCTTAAAGCTATATTATTGGGCCACAGAACAACTTTTCAAGGGCAGTTCCATACATGAATCCAGGCCACAGCTGGCAACCCCTGGAAGGAACTGGAGCATGTGGTTTTACAACAGAGACTTTGGATAATGCTAGAGGATTCCCACGTCGCTTCTGGTTTTTACTGGAAGTGACAAGCATGCCGGTGCACCACTGTCACCTGAGGTATAATGAGGGCAATGAGTCTGAATGCTGGGAGACCTCTCACTATGGCAGGAGACCTGACATCCCTAGTGCAATTCCCTCGTGGCTATTCACAATACATGTAGCACTGCTTAGCCCTCATAGCTTCACAGGTAAGAAATGTGTACACTCTGGGCACTATTGAGCCAGTTTGGTGTAGTGGTTAAGTGCACAGACTCTAATCTGGGAGAAGCAGGTTTGATTCCCCACGCCTCCATTTGCACCTGCTGGATGACCCTGGGCAAGCCATAGTTCTGTCAGAGCTGTTCTTGAAAAAAGAGCAGTTTCTATCAGAGCTCTCTCAGCCCCACCTACCTCACAGGGTGTCTGCTGTGGGGAGGGGAAGGGAAAGGAGTTTGTAAGGCGCTCTGAGACACCTTTGGGTAGTGAAGGGTGGGGTATAAATCCAATCTCTTCCTCTTCCTATTAATTGGGGGCACAGTGCTAAGGAACTCATATGCTTTGGAGGCAGACTAACAGTGATCCTTTCCAAAATGTACATGCCAGCTGTCTTGTTAGCACCTAGCATGCATGCACTGGGTACCACTGCAGGAACGGCAATGGTGGGATAGCCAGTGACAAGTTCTGGGGAACAGATGTCAGGCAACTATCTTGGGAAGGCAGCGCCAAGCCAGCTTGCATGCTAGGTGCTAAGAAGACAGCTGGCAAACCTATACAGACAGCCTATACAATGCTCTCTGTGGATCCCATTCATCTTCATAGGATCATTGTGCTTAGTGCCTTCAAGATCCTTCACTCTAGCTGCATATTATTATTATTATTATTATTATTTATTATTATTATTATTATTATATTTATACCCTGCTTTTCTCTCCAGTGGAGGAGATCCAAAATGGCAACATAATTCTTCCCTCCGTTTTATCTACAGAACAACCCTGTGAGGTAGGTTAGTCTGAAAAAGAGTGTGACTGGCCCAAGGTCAAAATTCCACAGCAGAGTGAGGATTCAAACCTGAGTCCCCCAGATCCTGGTCTGACACTAATCACTACAGCATACTGTTACATGCAGCATCTTGACATAAACAAGCCCCCACTGACGAGAGTCAGTACCACACAGGCATATTGCGCATGAACAACCCCCGTCTTTGGTTCTCCTTTGCATCTGTGTAAATAAGCCTTTGATATAAATATGATGAAATGGGGAAGTGAGACGGCCGCAGAAGCAGCTCCCATAGCTAACCGGGCCCCAGAGACCCAGAGGAGCGGTGTATGGAAGGTCTCACCTCACTCACCCTTTTTGCTTGAAAGATTGCCAGCAAAGCATCCTGTTTATTAGGGCCAGGACTGCGCTAACTGTCAAGAGCTAAATTTACTGCTTAGAAAAATAAACTCGAAGACACAAACAAAAACTGCCCTCCCCATAGGAATCCATTTTTAGAGAGAGGATATTATTAACCACCCAAGAACCTTCTGCCATCACTAAGCTTTCAAACTTTCCCCCTCAGGGAGCGTTGCACAAAACTAGCTACATGTGACACTTGTGACACGGAAAGCAGCCTGGCGTAAGCCGTTCTCCGGCTGTTTAGAATTCTAAACTCCTCTGGGAGACTGCGGAGCCCCTGGGCTGCCTTTCTCCAGTCACTGTTTTATCTAAGCCGGTCTTATCTCCCCTTCAGTAGCTCCTTGCCCCCTTCTTCTTCCTCCTTTCCCCCCCAGGGGACAGTTACCAGCTCAAAGATAAGATATGCTTACATGGTTTGGAGAAAGGTGGCCAGGGGACTCCTATCCCCTCCAGTCCTCTCTGCTGGGAAACCTTTGGGATTTTAAGTCAGATACTGGCTTACATATGACTGCTTCTCAAGTGATGAGGGCAACATGGAGCCCAGGCCCCAGTTCACACAGCGGACTGGCCAGGCCTGCCAAGCCTCATTGCTGCACTAAGCGTGTGAGCGAGAGCATGCCCAGCACTTCCCTGAGGCTGCCTGTTGCAGCACAGGACTGGTAATCACTATTGGTAGATGCTCTTCAGAGACGGTCCATTATAGAAGCCTAGCTTCCCTTGAAGACAGTTTGTTCGCCATCTTCAAGGGAACCTAGTCTTCCATGCTGGATCTTCTCTTTGAGAAGCTGCTACAAATCTTCCACAGAAACCCAAAGTTCCCCACAACATAGGTCTTTAAATTTACAGAAACCCAAAGTTCCCCACAACATAGTTTTTTAAAAAATTTTGAGCACCCTTTTCTAGTTATATGGCAAACATTTTACCTGGATGTAGAAGGTTCTGTAGCTTGTTATGATTTCAAAAAGATTGTCCCGCATGAGAAGGTCACTAGAAATAGAGAGAGGCATTCGCATGACTTTCATCAGACACATTTTCTTCTTTACAGCAATGATGCTACAAGAGTGACACCGTTTACTGAGCTTTAGCCAGAACTTTTAAATTAATTTTTTAAAAACCCTTCCTCAAAGCTACAGCCTTGGTTCATATCAAGGGTTCTCCATGGCTGTATTTAAAAACTGAAAGACATGTCAGGGGTTTCAAATAACGAAAGTCCCACGTCACATATAGAATGATCCTTAGCAACAGTTCCAAGGCTAAAATCTCCAAGAGAGCAGAGGAAAGTCATACCCAGATTTGACTAGGCATTCGTGAGTCTTCTGCACATCCTTCAGGAGGATTGAACGCAATGGTTCCTTATCCTGAGGAGACAAACAAAACAGATGTTGGGGGTGAGAACAGATATTATGCTGCTCCCAGAGACAGTTTATACTGAGGTGATATTATTTATTTATTTATTTCGATGTCTAGCCCTCCCTCCCCTGCACACCTTTTTTTTTGAGGAGATACACTTTAGAAGGCCAACTGAGTTGACAGAATAGCAAAACTTCCATATTGCACAAAACTTTTCTTAAGCTCCTACTTGAAAAAGAGATCTTTGGAACTCATAAGCTCACAAGCCTATTAATCCAGCTAGAAGGTTGTTATATTGACATACTGCTATTCAGTGGAGTTAATGTGCACATTTGGAAAGTGGGTCAGTGCAAGCCAAGTGAACGCATATACCCAGTTATGTTAAGCTGGCGTGCTGCTGCATGTCGGAGTAAGAATCAGGGTTCATAATGCTTGGACGACGTTCAAAAGTTCCCTGCTGGAGCAGGATAACTACAGAATTCCCGTGTGCATCAACACATGCCATTATTTCAATTTTGTAACACTGGTTATTTATTTAAAACAATTGTACCCCATGCTGTTCAGCACAAAAAGGCTCACAGAGCAGCTTCCAAATCTATAATAAAGAACTCTAACAAGCTCATGGTAAAAATCCTAAAAACTTTGATAAAACAAATAGGCCAACAGTAACTTACTCATCAACCATAAAAGCAATACACCAAATAGAGAAGCACCAGAAAAACTTCTCTTCAAAAGCCAAAGCTAAAACAATTCTTTAAAAGCCAGTAGCAACTGATAAAAAAGAACAAAGCCAACCAAAAAGAAGTAAAATAATCATTCAGAATCCTGCAGGAAAAGTAAGTTTTTACCTGATGCCTAAGTGGGGGGAGGGCTTTTTAAAATAAGTGACTAAATATGGTTACACAGGTTGTTATTATATCAGGTTCTCTGCAGGTTCTCTACTTTTTTTAAAAAAAGTCTCTATCTCGCTGCAGAGATAAGCCTTTCCCCTTGTTATCTCTGGAATTAGAAAGGGGCTAAAGAAAGAGAAAGGGACTAACCCGATCTCATCAGATCTTGGAAGCTAAGCAGGGTCAGCCCTCGCTAGTATATGGATGGGAGCAGGGCTCTTTTTGTAGAAAAAGCCCAGCAGGAACTCATTAGCATAATAGGCCACACCCAACAGCAAAACTCATTTGCATATTAGGCCACACCCTGACAACACCGCTCATTAGCACATTAGACCGCACCCCCATGTTACCAGAAGTGTGGTCATCCAGCCACACCCACCTTTCCCTTCTTATTCTGTTTACCTTGTTTGTTGTCAAAACCCAGGGCCTTTTTTTGTAGCAGGAACTCCTTTGCATGTTAGGCCACACACCCCTAATGTAGCCAATCCTAATGAGTTTCTGCTGTTGGGTGTGGCCTATTATGCTAATGCGTTCCTGCTGGGCGTGGCCAACTCAGGAGCCAGCCGGAACTCTGTTCCTGTGCGTTCCTGCCCAAAAATAGCCCTGGATGGGAGACCACCAAGGAATACCAGAGCTGTGACATGGATGCAGGCAATGCAAACCACATCTGAAGTCTCTTGCCTTGAAAACCCCACGGGGTCGCCGTAAGTCGGCTGTGACTTGATGGCCAACAACAACAAAGAGACTGCCATCTTTTTTTTTTTTTAATGAAAACCTGGAATTCAGGGAGCCTCCTACAAAGATTTTTTTAATAAAGTTATAATGTTATTCAACTGCCAATTAAAACAAAAATTGAAAAAGCCACAGCAATCCACTTTGCAGCGTGATTGCATGTGTAGCTGAAATTAATATATACAGTTATCTGAACACTTCAAACATGTTACCTAAATGCTAACCTTTATTATTATGACTGCTTTACCTAAAGGAAAATGTAAATTTGGTCCTGAGATCCTTTTATGCAAAACAAACCAAGTGCAAATGACTTCTCTGCATAGTATGCAGGATGCTTACCTGCTCACATTTGAAGTAACTGATGGAAATTTTATCCAGTGTAAAGTACCGACGTTTCCAGCTCTTCCTCTGAAAGACAGAAAGGAAGCCTCCTTTTAATGTGAATGTTTTCCACATCTTCTGAGGCTCCCTGTTGCACTCCTGAAACACGGCAAAGGCTGTGATCTGGACTGGACCATTTCAGATTTCTTTGCAACTCAGAAGCTCATCCTATTCATTCAGCTAGAAGGTCCTTATATCAGCATATCAACCATGTAAGAGGAATGGAACACCCATGTAGAGAGGCAGCATATCTGAATACCAAATACCATTGCATGCTCCACTTATAAACATCTGGAGACACCTAGCTGACTGCTGCTAGAAACAGAATGCTGGATTAAACAGACATTTGCTTAAGAGACTGACTTGCAATCTAGGAATCCTTGTTTGAGTCTTAACTCTGTCATGAACTCGCCAGCTGACCTTACGCAAGTTCTCAATTGACCCTTGCTGACTCAGTTAAAATCCTAGGGGGTGATACAGGATCCAGCATTACTGCTGGAAGTTAAAAAGTGCTTCCTTCCCATTTCGCAGGATCCAGCATTACTGCTGGAAGTTAATGTGGCTACAAAAAGTGCTTCCTTCCCATTTAGTCACGTCTGGAAGATGGTCCCCTACTTTGATTCAGCCAATCCAGCCACCTAGATCCATGCCACAGCAACATCAAGATTAGACTATTTTAATGCACTCTGTACATAGCTGCCCTTGAACTCAACCCAGGGATTCCAGCTGGTACAGAATGCTGCAGCTTGGTTATCAGGAGATAGATGGGGCCTGCCCATTACACTCATTTTGCAGTCACTCCATTGGGTACTGGGCTTAGTTCAAGGCACTAATGATCACATAGAATTCAAGATACTGATGTTCACATACAAAACCCTGCACAGACTTGAAACTTCATAACTGCAGGAACACCTGTACACCTATGTTCTGCCATGACAGCTTCACTCATCATCAGGTGCCACCCTGCAAATGGGCAAGATCAATAATTGCCCTACATGCTTTCCCCCCACCTTATGGAATGGCGTGCCTGAGGAGGTCATGAGAGCTGTCATTCCATAAACTCTGCTAAATAGAGTTGTTCAGGAAGGCACTTTATAAGGGGAAAGGGACTTTGGATTATCCCAATGTATATAGGACATATCAGTTTGCTGCATGTATTACTCTTGTTTCATCATTTTCTACTGATGTAATATCATTTTTCTTCATTATATGCAAACACTGCATGTATCACATCTAACATGCCATGCTCATTCAGATTTTGGTAATCCTGGTCCTATTCCTTTGCTCATTAGATGCCTCTTCATATTGATTGTATCAACCCACAAATATATGTGAAGCATTTTGAACACTGGAAGTGTTTTACGTAACTTGCCAAGTATTATTACTTGATCTGATCCCACCAGGAAGTTCTTATATGCTTCAAAGTTATCATACAGATCGGGTTTCAGAAAAAGGCCTCACCTGATCCAGATAAACTGTGGCAGCCATTCCCAGTCTGAACATCTCATCTCGATAGCAGGTGCCAGAATGTCAAACCTCTTGCCTCCTTTACCACCTGTTTCCTAGTCTTCTCTTAGCAACCTCATGCCCCAGAAGCACAAAAGTAGACTATTCAGCCCCTAACTCCTCCATTACCTCTACCGAGGGCAATAACAGTATCACAGAGGAAGGTCATGGATGATACTTACCACATTCCCCTGCTTTACACAGTAGCCACTCTTGAGGAGTGGAGGACCAGGTGGTGTTTTGGTACCTGAAGTGGGGATACAACTCTGGGAGCGTCTCAAAAGAGGGTGGACTGCTACCTCAGCACCTTCAGAGCTGTCCCCTCCATTCTGGTTGGTGGGGGAAAGAGAGAAACAGAAAGAATTAGACAGATCCTACAAGGAATAGTAAGAGAGCTGGGACAAAGAAAACTGTGAGTGTGAGCATTGGTCAGTAATTGCCAATTACAGCTATGCCAAAATTCTTACATCTTTATGATGAATGAAATTATCAGAGAGCCAGCATGGATACCCATGTGTGTGTGGAAAATGTACATGTAACTTCCATGTGTGTGTATAAAGTGCCATCAAGTTGCAGCTGACTTATGGCAACTCAGCAAGGGGCTTTCAACGCAAGTGAGAAGCAGAAGTTGCTTGCCACTGCTTTCTTCTGCAAATTCTTCCTTGGTGGTCTCCCCTCCAAGTACAGTGATTAGCTTCTGAGATCGGGCTACACCATCCCTCCCCCATGGCTTCCATGTACATGTGGAAAATGTAACATCTGGTTAAGCTCTCAGCAACAAGATCAGTGGACAACACTCTCAATCTAACCTGCTGTTGTGAGGATAAAATGGAGAGGGAAACCACATATGCCACCCTAAGGATGGGATAAACACAAGTCAAATGTTGGCACTGGGTTCAGAATTTCCCCACTCCCAACTCCGGAGTACAAAATTCAAATATTCCTTAAGGCTCAGCACTTTCATGAATGAAATCCACATTAGGAAACTGGAAAGTCAAAGAGCTGATACAGAATACTGGCGAACAACTTTGTGGAGTTTTGCTTCAGCCACAAGCACATTAGGTAGCCTTAGGGAAGCCACTAACCACTCATGCGTATCATTTCCAATCTGTAAAAACTGGTCTGTTACCAGCCTATCTTTCAGGGCTCGTAACTAATAGTGAGAGAACATACAGTAAGTAAAGTGCTTCGAACTCTTGAAATGCATACCATACATGCGTAAGTGCTATGTATCCCTATGGTGAAATCTGAGTTTTAATTTTATCACGCCACTGAATCTCACATATGACTTCTACACAATGTTGCCAACTTTTCCATCAGCCCCTGCTCTTGTGGCTCTAACAGCAGCTTGATCTGCAGTCATTAGCTTGCAATAAACCTTATCTCCATATCATGAAAAGCTTCATTTGCTGCCTTCTGCAGACTGAAGTGTTATTAGAGGCACAAGGGAACACCAAGAATCTTTTTTCTTAGTCAATTGGCAATTGTACGTCTACCACTATACATTTATTTATGTGTTATGTGGAACACAGAAATTACCTGGTCCCTGCTGAACAGCTCTGCTTGGCTTTCCTCACTTCAAACCTTCATGGAGCTTTGGCAGCAAAAGTCTTCAACTGTGCTATTGCAACTAATTACAGGAGGGGCAATGTGTATGCTGCATTTCATGGCAGTGCGGAGAAAGCAAACCAAACAGCAGTGGGAGCAAAATTTACCTTTCCTTTGTAAAAGCAGAAAGCATCTAGGCCTTATGGCTACAAAGATATTAGAACATGTCTTGGCAAAGCCTGCCAAGTCAGAAGTCAGAGTAGATGGCTGAACAACAACTGGGAAAAGGGTATTTATCAGCACACTGCACAGCTCCTTGGGTTACAAAAATCAGTTATGCCAAAAAAAAAACCCATACAGTATAAAACAAAACAATCTATTTCCAAATTGGCATCGATATACACAGGTGGCAGAATTACATGTTCACAGATGTGGTTTTCCTGGGTACAGAATTTTCATTTAACTACAGAAGGAGGGCGTGGAAGGCTCACAGACTTTGTTCCACTTCTTGCTGGAAGTCAAAGAGCCAGAATACGGATCCACAGAGGACAAGTACTACAGCTGTCTCAAGGACAAGTGTATAGATGGTATAAAAGGAAAGGCTCAAAGATGGGGGGGGGGGAGTGTAATAGAATGAGAATATACAGTGGACAAAAATATAGACAAGTGAGCCAGAGGTAATCCTGAGGCTTTCACAGCTGCCTTTTGGTTGAAGAAATCGAAAAGGTGCAATGGCCAGACGTTTCCCCCCGCTCAACAGAATGAGTAGAAAAGCTCTGGAAGAGAAAGCAGGGTTTTGCTCACTGCATAAATTACATGGACGAGTACCCACTTCGTGTTTTTTTAATAAGTACAGTTCCCTGGCGACAAAGGGGCAGACACACTGTGCCATTGTGTCCCCCATTTCGGGTGGCCCATTCAGTTGGTGCCTCAGGCTCCCTCAGCATGGAGGGTCTGCCACAAAGCATCTCACTGTCCCTGCTAGCCTGAGAATAAGCTGTGGTTTTGCAGCTGAGGGGAAGAGCCAGGGCCAGCACAAAACAGCAACCTGGAAGATTACATTTGTCCCTCCTAAGCACCCATTAAGGTGAGACCCTGACAAGTCCCACGGAGAGATTAGCAGAAGCCAAACTAGAGCTAACAGGGAAGAAAGTTTACAAAATAAGAATGAAAAATGACACTTGGCTGAAGAGGGGGAAAAGAGGAAAAAAGCACCATCTGGGAGCAGGTCATGAGGTAAGTGTTCATGTGGCTTGTTTTGAGGAACTTATTCGGAGATTTATGGAGTGATCTGACTCAAGCTTTAAAAAAATGGGCATGAACAGAACTGGCACTTGCCAGCATCTGAACGTCCTGGACATTTTACAATAAAACAAGATTGAACCTTCTGGGACGAAGAGCCATGCTGGATCAGACCAAAGGGCGACCTAGTCCAGCATTCTGTTTACACGGTGGCCAACCAGCCACCGCTAGGAAGCCCACAAGCAGGAATACTGAAACAGCGTCATCCTGCCAGTGCTCCCCAGCAACTGATTTAAGGAGTTGTACTATCTCTGGCACTGGAGGGAACAGATATCCATCATGTTGAGTGGCCACTGGTAGCCCAGTCTTCCATGAATTTGTCCACTCCACTTTTAAAGCCTTCCAAGTTGGCAGCCATGACTACATCCTGTGGCAGCGAGTTCCACAAATTAACTATATGCTGTGTGAAGAAATGCTCCCTTTCTGTTCAAAGGATACTTGGGGCAGATTACAAAAACAGAAAATCCACCAGTTAAAATCACTGGACTAAAATGAGCTTAGCCTTTACAAGAAACTCTTCTCTGAGAAACCCTGTCTCCAAAAATCTGATGAGAGACTACCTAACATACGACATTTTTTGTGCTGGAGCCCCACTTATAGAGTACACTTCCTGACAGACACTGACCTGGTGCTAGCTATCGTTATTTTTTAGACAGGCAAAGGCTATTTCTATTTGCCTTGGCTTTCAATGGCAACTGGCAGCGATACACCAGTGTAGTGGTTAAGTGCGTGGACTCTAATCTGGGAGAACCGGGTTTGATTCCCCACTCCTCCACTTGCAGCTGCAGGATGACCTTGGGCAAGCCACAGTTCTGTCAGAGCTGTTCTCTCAAGGACAATTCTGAAAAGAGCTCTCTCAGCCCCCACCTACCTCACAGGGTGTCTATTGTGGGGAGGGGAAGGGAAAGGAGTTTGTAAGCCACTCTGAGACTCCAAGTGAAGGGTGGGGTATAAATCCAACGTCGTCTTCTTCTTCGGTTGTTGTTTCATTGTTCTAACTGCTCCTTTGTATCACTGAGGCAGCATCAGCTTTTTAAAAACTGTTCTTACTTTTCATGGATCTTATCATTGGGACCCTGCACACAGTTAAAAGGAGTTCCCACGTGGGAACTCACTCTCTTAAATTGGCAGTATGTTTCCGGGGCCAAAACCTTTGGCCCTGGGTCTTGCCCTCTGGAGCAACAGAAGAGAACAAGTCTTTCCTCTCTACCATATAACAAATCTTCAGGTATTTGAAGAGCATAATCTTGTCCCCTTCTCAGGCTTCTCTGCTCTAGGCTAAGCATAACCCAGTTCCTTCAACCTTTCCTCGTAGGGCTTGTTTTTCCCTGCCAATCATTTTCTGCAAAGTGGAGCGTGCTGTCAAGAGGTCGAGCAATTCGGTGATAACGAATGTTAATATAGAGCCAAATCATTTAATTAAACATGGAGGGCCCAAGCCACTAATTAAGACAGACTCTCATAAAATGTGCATTTGGTAACAGAGGTCATAAAACCGAGGGAAGACTTCCTCTGCAGTCAATGCACTCTGCTCCTAGCATACTGTTGGCACAACTTGCTTTGTTCCCTAGCCTGCCCCATCCCGAGGGCTCAGGGTGGATTAGAGCCTGAGCATAATAAATTCAGTAATTAAGATGCTGGGATATAGTACTAAGAGATAATTTCTTTGTTCAGCAAAAGCATCTGGTACAGTCTTCCTGGGACGAACCACATCAGAAGGGGGGAGGGATGCTCACATGTTTGTTTCTGCATATTAAAAGGAGAAGGGGGGAGGGATGCTCACATGTTTGAGTGTTTCTGCATATTAAAATGAAAGAGGGACTTCCTGCCTGACATAATAGCTGTCCAAGGACAGGAAGTTTGACCCAGGGGGAGCATTTGAGTATTCTGCACTTATTATATATGCATTTTTGCACACACTTGTAAAATGCTATAGATCTACTATTAGGGAAAGTCTTTTTGTTGTTCAGTCGCACAGTCGAGTCCGACTCTTCGCGACCCCATGGACCAGATCACGCCAGGCCTTCCTGTCTTCCGCCGTCCTCTGAAGTTTGCTCAATTTCATGTTCGTTGCATCTATGACACTGTCTAACCATCTCATCCTTTGCCATCCCCGTCTTCTTTGACCTTCAATCTTTCCCAGCATCAGGGTCTTCTCCAGTGAGTGCTCCCTTCTCATTTGGTGGCCAAAGTATTTGAGCTTCAGTTTCATTATCTGGCCTTCCAAGGAACAGTCAGGGTTGATTTCTTTTAGGACTGACTGATTTGATTTTCTTTGATCTACCCATAAATAAACAAAGTGGTACAGCTCAAGCTGCCTGGATCCTTTAACTGAAGAGGCTGGCACTTAGCATACAAACACATGACATACCATTGAGCTATGGATCCCTTCTATGATGGGCAAAAGAACGTCTGCTGGGTTGGCACAAACACTGTTTGGGGGAAAAGTCGCTTTGGATGGCACCATGGCTGATTCATA